GTTACGTTACGGGTTACGGGGTACGGTCCGTCCGTCCCCGTACCCGTAACCAACTACTACTAGTTCGTTACGTACGGAGGAACCGGAACGAACGTAGTAGTCTCTCTCTCTCTCTCTCTCTCTCTCTCTCTCTCTCTCTGTGTGCGCACATGTGTGTGTTTCATACACTCACATGCTCAATGCACATGCTCATGTGCTTGGTATAATTTGGCACCCACACTTTGTGCTTGTGGTGTGAACTTGACGTGTGATAATGTGGAATTATAGCGCAATAGGAGTCTTGGTTCTCTGTTTCCTCGAGGTACTGCCCTTCACTCCGTTCGTAAATTTGTTTCGTATCTCTCTCGCATACTTTGTGAGCTACAGGCCTACAATTGGTTTCTTCTAGGCTTGTAAAGCACAATCCATAGGCATTCACTTTTTTAATGATCTACCCATTGCTATTGGTGGTCCATTCAGCCTGTTAAGTCTATTTTCGGTGTGAGCTTGGGGGAACCTAATTGATGTGTTTCAGGAGAAACTAGACTCATGGACCCGTATATGGCAGCCATAAACTGCAAAAACCGTAATGAGACCATGTGCTGATCTTTCTGGTGGGGAAGCTGGAAGGGGAAAACCATTTGGTGGGGGGAATGCGACAAAGTTATACGTCCCTAAAGAAACTAGGAGGTTGATGGTGGAGGTGTGCTGTACAGGTGGGCAACTTATGATGTACAGGTGGGCAACTTATGATGGTGGAGGTGTTGTACACGGGTGACTTATGGAAGCACCTAGTTGAAGACGATGCAGGAGTTTTATTAAAATTAATGACGCAAACTCCATCACGGCCGGTTCCAAGCCTGGATAGAGGTGAGGAGGGTTGGGTTAGGTAGGCGGTATATACGAAAATTTTACTGGCAGAACTTATGTTACATGCTTATATTTAGGATGTTTTCTATAAGTGACTGGCTTAGCTTAGGGTATGGCTCTTGATAGAGCATTATGGCGGAATAAGATTCATGTTGCTGGTCTTAAAAAGTAGGAATAAGGCTTGATACCGATGATAAAAAGAAAATATCTAATCCCCTTGAAAGTTGGATTCGGGCAATTTGCTTCAGGTCAGGGTTGTGTACCTTGCCCAAGGTCGGTTTCAAAACATTGCTCGGCACAATCCAGCTATGGCGCAGACTACAGAACTTGTCAAACCTTGATTGACTTGAGCAAATGATGTAATCGGCTAATCCGACCCTTAATTCTCCCAATACCAATACAAATAGATTTTCCATGAAAAATGAAGCTTAGTTTCTAGTCGTTATATTTGAGATATAAGCCAGAGGTTTTTTTTACATGAAATGGTGATAGTAAATCATGAAGTTCCAGGATGGAGTCATTTGTCACAAAGATGCTGAAAGCAGTCGAGGATTATTCATTTTAACTCAGAGTAGATGACGTTGACGATTTAGGAGGAGGAATAGGAACCATAACAATGAAGCAAATGGAGAGAGTTTTAAAGTTGGCAAAAGTTTATATAAGGTTGACCGTATATTATTGAAGTAAAGTGCACCTTAAGAACCCATTGTAAGAGATTGTTTAGATGTTAGAAAACCCTTAAATTATTTATCTTGGCCTTGAGATATATGAATATTAAAAAAAAGAAAAATAATTGCAAGTCATAAAAATGGTGCTTTTTGTAACATTTTATTTGGACCGTCTATTTTAAAAAATGTTAGTAGCTTATAGCTTTGCTCAATCTATATTATTTTTAGAGAATTGAATTTCATAACTAGGGTTGATAATAGAGTTTCATGCCATCACGACTTTCTAGCACCGAGATTGTTTCTTTTAACCTAATTTTGAAGTATGCATTACCTTGATCATTTAAAGGTGATAGTTATACTAACCCTCACATTTCAAACGCTGATGACCTGATAAACTCTTCATAAAAATCTATTACTGTAGTCCAGACCATCTCATCTCTAACATTTTTAACCAAATATTTCTTTTACACAAAGCTCTTCTATCATCGTAAAATGTAAGGCCTGAAAGCACAATTTGGGAGAAATAAGCAAAGTGTAATTGTAAAACTACAATTTGGCGGTCCCATGCAAAAATATGCCATTAAAAACTAAAATGTGGCCGTCGCATGTAAAAACATACCATTAAAAAAAAGAAAAGGTGTGGTTTACATAAGGTTGTAGCCTTAAAACAATCAAGTAAGGTGCAGCGCCGATCTTTGTTATGAGATGCAGTTTTAGTGGCAAAACTTCTTAGTATAGTACGAGAACCTATTTTTATCTCTAATTACATAATTTTGAACTCCAAAAATGGTTTAAATCAAACAAATTATAAACACATAAAAATAGTAAAAATGGACGGTCCCAATAATATTTTGCAAGATGTACTATTATTAGGACTTAGAATCACATCAAAACAACATTTTTCAAAAGATTTCAAAAGTGCACCTTAATTCTACATTTTAGGATATTTACCTTATATAATTTCTTTCCTTAAAAGAACATGGATATCAAATATCAATTTCATTTGTAAATAGCCAATTAATTTGTATCTATTTGATATCATAAATAGCCAATTAATTTGTACCTATTTGACATCATTATTTTTAGGGTTACTCTAAACTAGAGAGAGAGAAAGTTATCATCCTTAGGGCGAGCACGAAGCTAAAGGGAGTTTCACTGCATGCAAGTTTTTTCATGTTTGTCGTCTTAAAGCCTAATGTCATCTCATGGGGAAACCAAGAGGAATATTGCCGAATAACTGAACTCAGGGCCAATCAACTTCAACAGCTGTCCTCTCATCACATATTTTTAACCAAAATTGCATAAATAGTACTTCAATTCTATCAATTTATCCTCAAATCAAAATTAAATTCCAATGCATAATTCATACTGCGATTCATAGAATGAAAAAAATCTGCTGATTTCGCCTGAAAGCCGATATAGGCAGATCAAGAATAAAACCTATGTAATTACTTTAATTGATTATTTTTAAAAAATTTATACGTTGTCTAAGCAATTTGGGAATGTAGAGGCTGTTGATTTTCAGCAGCACCTGGTTTGCTCAAGCCAAACAAACGAGAGAGAGAGAGATGCATTTGGGAGCAGGCCCTTTTATTGCTTAAGCTAGTCAAGTTCAAACTATGGAGAAAATTTGGAAAGCAGCCACTGAACAAAGGCCCTAAAACTGCTGATTTTTGTGGAGAAAAACAATTTAAATTGGAGCTCAAACGATGTATAACTCAGCCACTGAACATAATGTGCAAATCTACTGGTTTTGGTGAAGGAATAATCACTTGACATTCAACAAAAGAAGTTAAAAAGAAGTGCGTAGATTTTCTTGTTGTGTCCTCAGTGTATCCATACATGCCAAACACACCAATGTTAGTAAATAAGAGACTAGGAGCTCAAATGTTTGTTGTTCATCGTTGACGGTTTTTAAAAAGAAAAGATCAGACCTGATACAACACATTATTTCGCGAGAGGTAGCAAGTACTCCAAAGGGCTCAAATATATTTTTTTTTATATGGCATGAATAAAATTATGTCTTGTTAGGCTTTGACCAGGAAGCATGGCTTCTTCATGCCTATCCCTCAGAAATAAAAAAGAGGAGGAATACGAAACATCAAACAAAACAAAAAGACAGTCCCAGACCAGGTAGAGAATTTCAGAGAAGCTTGGGGGCATCTCCATCAAAAACAAAGGCTTGCTGCTCTCTCTCTCTCTCATTCACATTAGAAACAGTATACATGAACCTTGCTAGGAGGTAACACCATCTTCTTCCCATCTCAGTTTGTCCAAGCTTACTTCTACCTCGTACCCCGAGCTCAATAGAGCCTCAACCATAGCACAGATATCATTTCTCAAGGATATGGCTTGAGCCTGGTTATCAAACTAAATCATTAGAAACACTACGGCATCCAGTGATGGGTAAAATGATGGGAACGGAAGATATGATGTCAACTTCTTTTTTTTTTTCTCCCCGCTACGGTGTCTTAGAAAAAAGGAATTCTCTGTTTTGTAAGAAAAAGTTGGACACTTTCATAAAAAACACAGAATTCTTTGTTTGTAGGATACCCCTTGATGCTAGTGGAAAACCTGTTGGTAATGTCATATCACTTAAATGCTAGAGTACATTTTTTTAGTTTTTCTCTTTATGTGTGTGTATGAGAGAGAGAGAGTCAAAATTTAAGCCAATATCTAGCATACTTTTCATCTGTTTAATTTTACCTTGCTCTCTTCTTTCCCTACTAGGTCTACCACCTTTGAAAACCAGTTGGTTATCAGCTTCTGAAGTTCTAATTCCAACTGTGGCTTCTTTGCTTCTGGCAACTCCTGTGGCAAACACATAATATTTGCGGTCAGCAATGTCTTAACCAAAAGAAAAAAGCTAGAACTGTCCAATGTAATGGACTGAATTCGTCTTCAGTGGGAAAACAGTAGTCTAGGAATGTGATAACTATAAGAATTAGATTTTCTCGTCCAGATTATGTATAAAGTAGAATAATGCCCACCTGATTAACCAAACTGATGATGGCAGCTGCATTTTCAGGCTTATTTTCCAGGAGATAACCCTGCAAAGAGCAAAATGAATTAATGATAGAAGGCACATATGGCTCCAAAAATCGATTCTAGAGTAAATGATCACTAAGGAAAGCTTATAAAGACAGTCCGGTTCCAGAGTAAATAATCAATGATAACTCATTAAGGCGACTTGGTTTCAATAGAGATGAATAACAAGGCCAATTAATAGAATGATTAAGATTTTAAAATAAAAGGATATTACTAAATGAAGTTCAGAAAGATTATATTTTCCACAGAACATAGACAATTATAGGAGACTCCATATGAAAAAGGATAATCCAACTTTGAATATCTATCAAACTGCTCAAGAGCCATTGATTTGTCAAAACTTATGGAAAGTTGGCCAAGAAAAGAAACTACCAAACTGATTAAGATTACTAAAAGAACACCTATAAAGAAAATGACCTAAGCTCTTCAAACAACCCCAAACACGTGCCCCCCCCTCTCTTCTTCTCTTCTTTCTTCCTTTCTTCTCTCTCAGTACAATAGTGAAGGGAGATAGAAGTATGCATTTCTGTTTGTGTTGTACAGGAGGTGGCAAGCAGTGTTACATGGACACCAACACAGGTGTAATATTTAGTATGTGTGTCAAGGGTCTAGGACATCAGCCCAAAAATCCAGTATGGCACCAACACGTCCATACAATCATATATATATTCAATAAATAAAATTAAAGTTCAATATAAAACTTAAAAATATAAATTCGCTTCATGTGAAAATAAAACATATTTATTTCCATTTCTTTTAAATTTCAATTGGGGATTTTTAAATCATTTTAGTAGTAATGATATTTTATAAAATGTCAAGCATCTTTGATATGGTGGTAGACCCATTAATATTGAAGTAAAAGTTTAGAAGCTTGCAAGTTCAAAGCCCACAAAGGCATTTTACATTTTAGATTATAAAGTACATCTAAAAATTGGATATTTATTTAAACTCCATGACCCAAATACTTCTACTTAGGAAAAAAATAAATAAAAATAAATTTAAGATAAACAAGTTTGTTTTATAAGGGATGGCTTTCTTGTCCACATGAGACCAAATTAATATGACTGTTGATTCTTGTATTAAATGTATCCAGAAATAATAATGACTACATATGATATTTAATATAGGGAAAATTACAAAAACCCCCTAAAAGTAGACTACCTATGCAGCTTACCCCCCAGCTAATCTTTCCTCTCACTTTTTTCCCCACAATCACCTTTCCTTGCAAAAACCCCCCAAGGTAAAAAGTTCTTATACTTTGGACAGAAATGCCCTTCCCTACAAAAAAAAAAGTCAATTGACGGTCCCAAGTAGTGCATTGCCGGAGCGACCATTTCAATTGCCGGAGTGATGTGGCTCTAGAAGGTGTACTGTAAGAGCTCGTATTTGTACTGTCGGAGCACTTGTCTTTATTGCCAGAGCGACCTATTCAACCGTCGGAGCACTGTGGCACAGAAGGTGTTCAGCCGGAGCGCTTCTTTGTACTGCCGAAGCATGTGTCCTCATTGCCGGAGCGACCTATTCAACCGCCGGAGCGCTATGGCTCCAGAAGGTGTATTGCCAGAGTGAGTCCTAGCATTGCCAAAGTGCATGTCTTCATTGCCGGAGCGTTTAAATGGACTGCCGGAGCGCATGGGGAGAGAGTCATGGGTAAAAGCCATGAGGAGAGAGAGGGGGGTACTTCAGTCTTTTTTTTCTTTTGTTTTGGATTGGGGGGGTTTTTGCGAAGAAAGATGGTTGTGGGGAAAAAAGTGAGAGGAAAGGTTAGCTGGGGGGTAAGTTGCATAGATAGTATACTTGAGGGGTTTTTTTGTAATTTTCCCTTTAATATATATATATATATATATATATATATATATATATATATATATATATATATATATATACTATATACTATATATATATAT